CCAGGAATCTATCTATATCTTCTAGGTTTCCTGATTTGTTGGCATACAGCTCTTTGTAGTAATTCCTGATGATTCTTTTTACCTCAGTGGTATCTGTTGTTATATTCCTTTTTCATCTGTGATTTTGTTGATTTGGATCTCTTGCTGATTTATTTATTTCTTTTTTTGGGTAGTTGGGCCAGTGATATGTCATTTTTGTTTATTTTTTTTCAAAAACCCAGCTTTTAATTGATTTTTGTCTTTTTAATTCAATTTTGTTTATTTTTTTCTTAATTTTAATTATTTCTTTCCTCCTACTAATTTTGGATTTGTTTTGTTGTTGTTTTTTCAGGTCTTTGAGATGCATAGGCAGCTCATTTATTTGGTGACTTTCCAGTTTCTTGATGTAGGCACTAATAGCTGCAAACTTCCCTCTTAACACTGCTTTTGCTGTATCCATGAGTTTTGATATGAGGTATTGTCATCTTCATTCATTTCTGAAATTTTTTGACTAGTCTTTTGATTTCCTTTATAACCCACTGTTCATTTAGGAGCATGTTTTCCAGTCTCCCTGTGTTTGCATATGATCTTGAGATTCTTGAGTTGTTGATTTCGAGCTTTCATCCATTGTGATCAGAGAAGGTGCATGGTATGATTTTGATCTTTTTGAATTGACTGAGACCTGCTTTATGGCCTATCCTAGAAAAATATCCATGGACTGCTCAGAAGAATGTGTTTTCTGCCACTGTGGGATCAAAAGTTCTGTATATCAGTTAGGTCCATTTGGTCCACAGTGTCCATTAGCTCTGTTGTTTCTCTGTTGATTTTCTGTCTGGTTGATCTATCCAGTGATTTAAATGGGGTGTTGAGGTACCTTGTTACTATTGTATTGGGGTCTATATCTCCCTTCAGATCTGTTAACAGTTCTTTTAAATAGTCAGGGCACCTGTAATTGGGTGCATATACATTTATTATAGTCATGTCTTCCTGTTGTATCCTTTAATCATTTCAAAATGTCCTCAAAATGTCCTTTGTTGTCTCTTTTAGAAGTTTTTGTGGTAAAGTCTATTTTTCTGATATTAGGATGGCTACATCTGCCCTTTTTTCCCCCTTAGCATGGAATACTATCCTTTCACTTTCTCTCCTTTCACTTTCAGTCTACATGTATCTTTGTTGGTGAGGTGTGTTTCTTGTGGGCAGCAAATAAATGGGTCTTGTTTTTCAGTCCATTCAGTCAGTCTGTATCTTTTAACCAGAGAGTTCAGGGCATTTACATTCAAAGTAACTATTGATAAGTAACAATTTGACCCTGCCGTTTTTCTGTGGATATTCCTATCATTTACTTTGGATTTCTTTGTACTTTTACTTGGGGATGTCCTTCTTTGCATTCTTTCATGATGATGTCTTTCTTTCTGTGTTCCTGTGTGTAGCACATCCATTAGCATCTTTTGTAAGGCTGGACAGGTGGTGACAAATTCTTTCAATTTCTGTTTTTTATGGAAGGTCTATATTTCACCTTTGAGAGCTTTGTAAGGTACAGTATTCTGTGTTCTCTCTTTTTTCTCTTAAGATTTGGACTTTATCATGCCATTGTCTTCTAGCCCATAGGGTTTCTGATGAGAATTCATCTGTCTAATTGGAGATCTTCTGAAAGTAGTCTGGCATTTCTCTCCTAAACAATTTAGAATCTTTTCTGTATGCTTTATGGAGGAAAGTTTGACTATAATGTGTCATGTGCAAACCTTTTCTGGTCATATCTTTTAGGAGTTCTATGTGATCCTGTACTTGGACATTACTTTCTTTCTCTAAATTAGGGGAGTTTTCTGTAATTATTTCACTAAGTAGCCCTTCTAGCCCAATCTCTCTTACCACACCATCAGGCACTCCTAAGACCCATATGTTGGGTTGTTTGATAGTATCCCATATTATTTCCAACACTATTTTTAAGTGTGCTAATTTCTTCTTGTTTTTGGTCTGACAGTAAAATTTCCAGGAATTTTTCTTCTTGCTCAGATAGTCTTTCTTCTGCCTCACCAGCTCTGCTGTTAAGTCTTTCTACTGCATTTATTATTTCATCTATTGAATTCTTTATTTCTAGTATATCATTTTGATTTCTCTTTAAAAATCTCAATTTTATGGGAAAAATTTTATTCATATATGATTTTCTTCATTCATGGATATGTTTCTGATAGCTTTTGAATAATCCTATGATTAATTTTTTGAATTCCATTTCTGGCATTTCCTCCATCTCTTCATCTTCACATTCTAATACTGAAATGTTGTGTGATTCCTTGGTGGGGGGTATCGTAGTGTCTTCCTTATTCTTGTTTCTTGAATTTCTGCATTTATTTTTGGCATTTGTAGACTTTTTTCTTCCTCTGATGGCCTTTATCTTTGAGCTAAGCCTTGGTGACTTAGCAGAATGTCCAAACCTTCAGTGAATACCAAGAGGGGTGTGCTGGATGTGGCCAGGGAGCTCTGGTCAGTGCTCCAGGATGGTGTGAATATCCAGGGTAACACAAAGTTGGGCATGATAGCTCTCGTCTGGTTAACTGGATGGAGAAGAATGGTCACCTGTGTTGTTGTGACCATCCTTCTCCTCCAAGCTGAGGAATGCCCAGATGATAGCCATAAATAAGACCAAGTATCTGCTAAGAACAATAGATAGAATCAAAAAGGAGGGAATGATCCAACATGGGAAGCAGGCTGCACAGCAGACTCACAAAATGACAAACGCCCTAAACAGTACTCTGGCCTCAGATTCAGCCCTTGAGGCATTCGAATCTGGCTAAAAAGCACATGAGAGTATTTCAGGCATGGAAAGTCAAGACACTGTGGCAAAAAATTGCCTACAAGAAAGATCTCTGTGAATGAGTTCCCAGTGGAAAGAAAGGACCATCAAAGAAGGAAGTATCTTTCTCTGAAGGGAAGAGAGAACTTGCACCTTGCTTATGGCCCTGTCTAAATGATGGAGTTTCTGGACTCAAAAGGCTTCCATAGCCTTGGCAGCTCATGACAAGAGCCTTGGGTGATCACTGACATCATAAATAAGAGTGTCATTTGTTTAATCAACAACAGGAGTCAATCTGCAGCTGCTCTCCATGTAGGACCTCCATCCTTAATGTGTTGTACTATGAGAATTAATGGTAAAACTTGTCTTCAAACAGTACTTTCTACTTTGAGTGTCTGTGTGGGTGCAAATTAGGGAAAACATATGATGTTTGTCTTTTTGGGACTGCCTTATTTCACTAAGCATATGGTCTCTAATTGCATGCATTTTGTTGTGAAAGACAGAATTTTGTTCTTTTTTATGGCTTAGTAGTATTCCATTGTGTACATATACCACACTTTCTTTATTCAGTCATCAAGTGATGAACATCTAGGTTGATTCCATATCTTAGCTATTGTGAGTTGAGCTTCTATAAACATGGGGATACAGATACTTCTTTCATATACTGATTTTATTTCCACTAGGTAAATTCCCAGGAGTGAAATGGCTGGGTCATATGGTAGCTCTATTTTCAGATTTCTGAGGAATCTCCATACTGTTTTCCATAATTGTTGTACTAGTTTACATTCCACTAACCAGTGTATTAGGGTATCTTTTACACCACGTCCTTGCCAGCATTTTTTTTTTTATTTTTTTTTATTTTTAGATATAGCCATTGTAACTAGGGTAAGGGTACAAATACAGATCACCTCATTGTGATTTGCATTTAAATTGCCCTGATGGCTAGTTATCCTTAGCATCTTTTCATGTCTTTTAGCTGTTTGTATTTCATCATTTGAAACATGAGTGTTCATGTTCTTAGCCCATTTCTTAACTGGATTATTTCCTTTGTTGTTGAGTTTCTTGAGCTTCTTATACATCCAGGATATTAATCCTTTATAGATGTATGATTTATTTTTAGATATCTAGCTTTAGTATCTTATCCAAGGTACCTAGGATATGTTTTGATGATTAAAAAGTTTTTTAATGATGATTAAAAAGTATGTTTTGATGATTAAAAGCTGGCAAAAGTGAGTTCTCAAAGGAGTTTTGTAAGGAAGTTCATTGTTACACTGTACACTACTGGGTCAAGCTCCCAATCATGCCATACATCTGGATCTCCTTTACTTCCTGGTCACTTCTCCCAAACCAAATCTCAGATTGCCCCAGGAATCCCTAAGAGGAAGTATGTTGAATGTATTATCCCCAAATGAGTGTCAAAAGTCAATTTACTTATTGTTGTATAGTTATTTCCACATACATGCATGAACATATTGTTGCATCTCAACAATTAGATCCCAAGGCCGTTGGTTGATTATATGTAGAAATGATTCTTAAAATATTTAAAAATTTTGATGTTTAATGATTTTTTACATCAAAAAATGTGTCACTTTGTTTTTATATTGAACTTGTTCTGTCTTTTGTATAGTAAAGGAATACATAAGCACTGAATTTAATGTATGAATAGGAAGGATCCTGTTTTCTTTTTCTAAAACAAAAATCATAGATCATTTATAAACTGATTTTAAAGTATTGGGGGGTCTTATAAATAATATCCCTAATCACAGAAATATCTTGTATGGTCACTTTTGGAAGTTATTTAAACATATCTATGCCTCATCTTCCTGATATGTTTAAAGAATACTAATATAATTAGACTGTTCTGAGATAATTTCTCTAAGAATATGGAGTTTTATTTTAGGATGTAAACCAGTGATTCTTTTTCAAAAATGATTAAAGTTTACTTTTTTGTGGAATATGGATTTTGAGTGGAGATAGTAATTGGTCTCAAACAACCAAATTCAAAAAACTTTTCTGCAATGAGAGAAACATCCCATGTGGCTATTGTGCACTTGAAATGTGACTGGCGTGATAACGAAAATCTTTTTTAAATTGCATTAATTTTGGATTAAAATAACCACAACTTTGGAGTTATCAACTGGTAAACATGATTTTTTGAGAAACAGTCGAAAAATAATGTAAATACTTTAGTAGTGAATTTAAAAGCAGCAATTTCACCATTTCTTTTCAGTCTCCTGCTCATAGTTACTCAAGCTATGACTCTGGCAAAAATGAGAGTGTAGACCGAGGTGCCGAGGACCTGTCCCTGAACAGGGGAGATGAGGATGAAGATGACCATGATGATCATGACGATTCTGAGAAAGTGAACGAGACAGATGGCGTGGAAGCCGAGCGGCTGAAAGCTTTCAATGTGAGTCCTGCCACTCTCCCTGTGTGGCTTAATTTTTAACCACTTCACTTTTGTGTTGTTGCTTGTTGGTAAATGTGGATATTTTAGAGACATGTTTGTTTAATTTACAGAAGGATTTAAAAAGTACATGAAACACTCTTTGCCACCCAGACACCAGAATTGCTGTGTTTTGTTTAGAATTTTACAGCCAAATGTGAGCTGGAAGCTGGAATTGTGTTGTGTGAGTATGCATGTTTGCCTATTGGATGAAGCGGGCCTCGCTTACTCTCTGATGAGTTCGCCCGTCATCAGCTATTTCTTCGGCTTTCCTAGCTTATCTAATTATGCATGACGGAAGAGTCAATAGTTTATTTTCAGAGATTAGTCCACTGTGCAGGGTAGCAATATAGCAGTTGTATTTATCATTAATAGACAATTTAATGGGGTGCTCTATTGTCACAGTCTACTGTTATTTCCTGATTTTTTTTTTCTACACAATAGTCTATTCTTTTCTGTCTGTCTGTCTGTGTGTCTGCCTCTCTCTCTCTCTTTTATTTTCTCTCTATTTTTTTAATCCAACCATTTAGAAAGTCTTTAAAGAGTGTTTGCTTAAAATTTCTGGCTTTCCATTGCATAAAGTTCTCCAGTGCATAAACCAGAGAAAGAATATTTTCCTATCAGTAATCGAAGCAGGAAGCTAGGAACAGCAGAGAGCAGCCCTCCAAACCCTTCTCCTCTGTCTCCCTCTTGCCAACAGATGTTTGTCAGGCTGTTTGTAGATGAAAACTTGGACCGAATGGTCCCAATCTCTAAGCAGCCCAAAGAAAAGATCCAGGCTATCATTGACTCATGCAGGCGACAGTTCCCTGAGTACCAAGAGCGTGCCAGAAAACGTATACGGACTTACCTCAAGTCCTGCAGGCGGATGAAAAGAAGTGGTTTTGAGATGGTGAGTTTTGAATTAAAACACAGCCCTAGATTCCATCGAAATCCCACATGTAAACCATGACACTATTTTTTTTTCATCTTAGTGTCTTTTTTATTTTTTCCATAATGTCAGGTCAAAGGGGTTTTCGTTTGCTTGTTTGTTTTTCCCCCTTCTCCTTTTCATCTTCCTGAAGTATTTTATGCCCTTTGTTTATTTACTAAGGTCTATCTTGTGAGACCAGTGCTCATAGAACTACATGGTACCATGTCACAGAAAATGAGGGTGATATGAGTAAAAAAGCAGTGAGAACCCACATCTCACGCATGTTGGGTTTCTTTCTGTCATTATTAAAGTGGTTACAAGACACACAAAGTCAGAAGGCATGTGAGAATGGCTTTCTCTGGAATGAAAGGAAAAGGATGGCTCCTTCTCAGGAATACCATTTTCACATCAATGGTTAACAGATAGCAAGTCTTAAAAACAAAATGGCAGGGAATGTCATTCCTCAGGAGGAAAATAAGGCTTTGTTGCACCAGGTATATTTATGTGTGTGCTTGTAGGTGTTACCATGAGCTTTTATACTCCACTCTGTCTATGGATGAGCTTATGCTGATGTTAGATTACTTATGGGGTGGAAATTAGAAACCAGTGTTCTTTGAACTTTGTTCTTTTTCATCTTACTCTAATGGATACACTTAGAAAGGGTGTGCCCATCTACAATGAATGCTTTTCTCAATTCTTGAATTTTTACTTGTATAAGCAGCAATATATTGGAAAGCTCCATGAAAACTCAGTCTCTTAATGCTTGTGATCTGTGCCTCTAATTTGTTAGGTATGGTGGAGAAGGAATTATTATAGATGAGAGGTTTGATATTTCGTCTATGAGAAATAATTTTGGTTAATGTGTAAAAGTCCAGTGAACAGCTGAAAATCCACTATCTGTTGTCAACTTTCCTACCTGACCCCTAAAAATCTTTGTCCTTGTTGAAGAAAAGGTGACTTCCTCAAAGATCTAGTCTTCTCAAATAGTTAGAAGCAAAAGGCTGTGTCCTGGGAGCCAGATTTTAAGTTCTGGATCCATCAATCTCTAGCTGTATGACTTAAGCAAGTTACTCCAATTGCCTGTTTTCAGGCTCCTCCTCTGGAGATGACAATTCCTAATTTGTAGAACAGAGTGAATTATTTATATTGTCTCATGTAAGCCTCTGCAAGTCATTTTTAGCATTTGGTAAGCACTCAGTAAACCTTCACTCAAAATATTATGCAATGTTATGCAATATATCTGATAAGTTTTTATTTATTATTTTTATTTGTAAGGCAGAGAGACAGAGAGAAAAAGAATTCCCATCTACTAGTTCACTCCCCGAATGACCACAGTGATGGGAATTGGGTCAGGCTGAAGACAGGAGCCTGGAACTCAATCTGGTTTCCACACATGGAAGGCAGGAACTCATGACTTGAGCAACCATCAATGCTTTTCCAAGTCTGCATTAATTAGCAGGAAGCTGTGGCCAGGTACTCTGGTATGGAACACAGGCATATAAACCAGTGTCCTGACCCCTAGGCCAAATGCCCATTGCCCTAAAGGTATTTATTCTCCAATTACAGATCCTTGCAAATAACCACTTGCTTACTTCTCAGGATACTTTTATTGGAGCTGAAGTTTGTTGTGCATAAGACAATAAAAAAATGGAAAATTTAGCAAACTAAATTATGACAGTGGGAGTAGTATGATATGAGCAAGAATGAGATATTACTTAAAGAAAATGAGCTAATTCTCCCAATAATGAATTATTTAATTATTATTATGATCTGCTCAATAAAAGATGACACATGAAAAGGGTATGTGAACAAGTTTAAAAACCCAGCAACCTGACATTGACATAAAGTTCAAGACAATTTAGTTTTCAAGATAAAGGCCCATTGAAACAAAATACATCACTGTACTTCAATGAACATAATAGTATCATATACCAAAATCTTTACTTTTACTTGCATCTGGCATTAGAATTTTTCTAATAGTTTAACATTTTTACAGATATTTTCTATGTCAAAGTTTATTTTTATGACATAACATTTTTCTACTAATCATTCTGTAAGAGAAAAAAATCATTGCCATGGATCCCTAATGCATATTTCAGCTATTCAACCATTTTTTTCTTTTTTTTCATACAGTTTAGAGATTCTTTTTTTGTTTATTTGCTAACAGCATGTTCAAAAGGAAAAAGGAGTCAAATAATGTCTAAGCAGTCTTTGCTGCTACTGTAATATTGCCTTCTGCTGAAGTTAGACATGACCAAACCCTACAGAATTGCTTATTATTTGAAATTTAATTATGACAATCTGTACTTTTAATCTAGATGAAGTTGACAAATCACATTTAAGGAATGCTAGTATTGATAAATAATTTAATCTTCTTTTTTTAACTTTTATTTAATGAATATAAATTTCCAAAGTACAGCTTATGGGTTACAATGGCTTCCCCCCCATAACGTCTCTCCCACTTGCAACCCTCCCCTTTCCCACTCCCTCTCCCCATCCATTCACATCAAGATTCATTTTCAATTCTCTTTATATATAGAAGATCAGTTTAGCATACATTAAGTAAAGATTTCAACAGTTTGCTCCCACACAGAAACATAAAGTGAAAAATACTGCTTGAGTACTAGTTATAGCATTAAATCTCAATGTACAGCACACTAAGGACAAAGATCCTACATGAGGAGTAAGTGCACAGTGACTCCTGTTGTTGACTTAACAAATTGACACTCTTGTTTATGGCCTCAGTAATCATCCTAGGCTCTTGTCATGAGCTGCCAAGGCTATGGAAGCCCCCTGAGTTCACCGACTCTGATCATATTTAGACAAGGCCATGGTCAAAGTGGAAGTTCTCCCTTCAGAGAAAGGTCCCTCCTTCTTTGATGATCACTGGATCTCACTGCGGAGATCTTCATTTAGGTGGTGTTCTTTTCTTTTTTTTTCCCCCAGAGTGTCTTGGTTTTCCATTGCTGAAATACTCTCATGGGCTTTTCAGCCGGATCCACATGTCTTAAGGGCTGATTCTGAGGCCAGAGTGCTGTTTAGGACATCTGCCATTCTATGGGTCTGCTGTGTATCTCACTTCCCATGTGGGATCGTTCTCTCCCTTTTTTTTATTCTATCAGCTAGTATTTGCAGACACTAATCTTGTTTCTGTGATCCCTTTGGTTCTTAGTCCTATCATTATGATCAATTGTGAACAGAAATTGATCACTGGGATTAGTGAGATGGCATTGGTACATGCCACCTTGATGGGATTGAATTGACCATTTTTTTTTTTCAAAATTTATTGCCATTTTTATATTATATTCAGTTTACCATGGTTATCTAGTATAAACCTTATACTACACAATGTATTTTTTTAGTGTTGCTTATTTATTTATTTGAAAGACATAGAGACAGACAGGCATCTCCTGTCTTCTGGTTGACTGCCCAAATGCCTGCAATACCTGGGGCTGGGGCTGGGGCTGGACCAGGCTGAGAGCAGGAACCTGGAACTTCAACTAAGGCTCCCAGTGGTGGCTGGGACTCAAGTCCCAGGATCCAACACCTGCTACCTCTTGGAGTGGGTATTAGTTGGAAGCTGGAATTGGAAACAGAGCTAGGACTCTAATCCAGGTACTGTGATATGGGTTGCGGACATTTTAACCATTATCTTAATTTCTGCACCAGACACTCACCTCAGGACACAAAGTTGATTTGCAATATCAAGAAATTTTACAAACTATTCTTGATGTAAATATGTCATTTAGAAAATACATATTTACTTTTAATAATTTCAATTTATTCAATTATTCATTTATTCAGTATATACATTACAGTTAGACAAAATAATAAAGAGAAACATAAGACATATCTGACTTTTTAATTAGAAAAGAGCATCATTGGGCCTGGCGCTGTGGTACTATGTTAAGTCTTCACCTGTGGCACTGGCGTCCTGTTTGGGCACCTGTTGGTGTCCTGGCTGCTCCTCTTCCAATCCAGCTATCTGCTTATGGCCTGGAAAAGCAAAGATGCCCAAGTGCTTGGGACTTTACAACCACATGAGAGACCAAGAAGAAACTCCTAGCTCCTGGCTCTGGATAGGCTGAGCTCATGCCACTGTGGCCATCTGGGAGTAAAGTAGTAGATGGAAAGTCTCTCTCTATGTCTCTTCCTTTAAGTGTGTAACTCTGCCTCTCAAATAAATAAATAATTCTTTTTTTTTAAAAAAAGAGAACACTTTATTAAAAAATGTGTCACATATTCTCTGATTATGGTGATTTGTTGAGGTGACAAGTTGTGTGGAATGGAATGCTTAAGTAACACTGTAAGCCTTCATGTAATTGTTAAATGAATGATCTAGGTAAAACAAGTATTGTAGTTTAGGCCATATTATTTAGTGATACACTATGGCAGATAACACATTATGTCTACTATCTAGCTGACACTCGGAATTTTTTTTGTCTTATTTATTGTTCCATTGTAATAGATGGTAGGTAAAACTTTTGTCATTTTGAATACTCGTGCTTACCCAAAGACAGGAAAAGGCATGGCTTGTACAGATAGTATTTATAAGTAAATATTTAACATGAATATTTGCCCTCATAATTTTTAAGTGTGGTTTAATATGACATCCACAGGTGTTTTCTTTTTTTAATTATAACAACATTGTATAAAAAGCTTTTTTTTATTTTGTTTTGAGTGGGTAGCTATGAGGGAAATGTGTTATTTTCAGCATATAATATAATTATTTTATATATATATATAATTCTATAATATGTAAAAAGTTTAAAAAGCCTATTTGAAATTTTAATACATTTACAAAATGGAATTGTAAAGTGTAGGTTTACTTAGTAGGGGATTCTGTATTGCGAAGTGAAAACAGCAGCCAGCAAGCTTAGCTATTCCCGTTAGTTAGGATCTTTAAGGTCAGAAGACTCCTTAATTAGAAACATAAAATATTGAGTTACATGTTTCCTATTGACTATAAGAAATTCAAA